TTCAAATGTCGCTAGTATCACCTGAAAGGATCACTGTTGCATCAAGTCAGCCGGCCTCTAAGCGAGCGCGCCGATTTTCATCGACCTGTAAAAACACCTGTTGCTCTGTCGCCACGTCGGCCTTGGAACCTGGCACCACCGGCCGATTATTTTGTTCTCCTAAACGGCCAGCAACTTATCGCGGTCGTCGAAGGATACCTGGTCTATCTGTCACCACTGGTGACCCAAAAAGTTTGAATGTTCAGGTAAGAAATCGTTATCAGCTACTTTTCTTATCAATAAGGTCTGCTCCCGTATAATTGCTTTAATCACACTTACGAAAGAGCTTAATTTGTTAGATGTCAAGTGTCATAAATCATATTCAACTTTAATTCCAGTCTCCTGATCAGACACACCCGAACCTGATACATCCTCGTCGAGCACTTCGCTCTAATCTTTCACCTCTTCCTCTGGGCTTTGTGACCAATCTCTCTGCACATCAGCAATCGCCAGTTACCGACGCAAAACTAGCAGAGAAATTTGTCGTCACAAAGGTCAAGAACAACAGCACTACTTCTCCTTTTGCTGGCTCCCCTTGTTATTTAGATGGTGCCAATAAGGAAAATGCTGGCTCTCTTGGACGTCCGGCCGGCCGGTGCTCATTTGGAGGGCGAATGCCTCTTGAGAAACCGGCCCCATCACCTTATGCCCCTCTGCATGTTTTCAAACGCTCGGGTAGCTATAAAATGTCAGTGGTAACTCCTATATCCTATTATTAAAGCACCTGATCGTTAATTATTAAGTCTTAACCTGAACATTGTGAATGCTAAATCGATATTTATCTGCATCTTTCTTCATTTTATAACCACTTTAGGGTCGTCTTCCCTTGTGTAGGCATATTGGTTCAAGAAGCATAATTGCTAGCAAGAGAGAAATTAGAAGTTGTTTGACCTTGTTTTCGCAATTTGCTCATATTGGTAGTAAGACATAGAGGAACGCACCTATTCAGGAGTCCATTGTATGCATGATCATTTCCAAACTTGGACTGTGGATGTGGTACATTCCCAGACGTTTCGACGGCATCGTCAATAAGTCTTGCCATTCTTAGCACCATACAACAACTCGTCAAACAGAGAAGTGAAACCGACCCTTTGACCAAATGTGTGCTAAACAGTTGTGGTATCTCTTCTTCTTTCATGGGCTATTCATTTATCCTATATCCTCGTATCCCGCTTTCACTATCACAATTTTTTTCCTTGCTTATTTAAATCTAGTGTGGTGTGCTCTTTTGAGCGGCTTTCATGAGAACCCTTCACATTACACGCTGGCTTTCTCATCCCCCTTCACCCTTGTGTTGGAAATTTTGATCAATGTCTGCCCGATTGTTACGCAGCCTTCCTTCCATAGATCTTATCAGAGTCTCCCTCTTGCCCCATAGGATCCGTCTCCTATCTCTCTGGTTCAAGTATTCCACTCTACCCCTGCCACCCTATTTGTGCTACTCGAGGTGTTATTTACCACACTCTGCCTCTGGGAGACTATCCTGGGGCTAAAGCCCTTGGGTAATTCTCATGATCAAACATTTGCTTCATGTACCATGTCTATGGTAAAACAGGCCTACTGTCAGCCAACTAACTCTAGTCTCCGCAGTGTCTATAATATTTATATTCATAATACCAAGTATATGACTTGCTATGCCTTAGTCTCTTGTGCACCAACCCACAAATGTGGTGGTACTGCTTGCTTTGATTAGGTTCAGTGTAGAACTACAAAATTTGTGGGTTGGAACACAAAAGACTAGGTCATAGGAAGTCATAGACTTGGTATACGAATAAAAACAGAATAGATGCAGTGAATGCTAGAGCTAGTTGACTAACAATAGACGTGATTTATGGACCACGTCTGTTATCAAACACTTATATTGTTAGCCAAATAGCTCTAGTCTCCACCGCGTCTAATCTATTTCTATCCATAATACCATGTCTATGACTTCCTATGTCCTAGTCTCTTGTGTGCCAACCCACAAATGTTGTGGTTCTACTAGTGTTGATTAGGCTCATTAATGATGTCCCCGCTTGGCTTCTGATTGTTCCTTTGTGGTCTCCTTTCGATTTATTTTCCTAAAATTAAAGATGTTACCTTGATCCAGTCTTCTTTTTGCTGATCTTACTGTTGCCTGGTCTTCTCCGAGTTTGTTTAGCCAATATGCAACGTTTTCGCTGATTCTGCCTTCTTCAAGTCTCCTGTTCATTAGATTACTCTCAGTCAGTATATCTATGGCCTCTCGGATCTTGCATTTTCTCGTATTTCAATGATATGCAGCCAGCCCTTCCGTCGATTTCGTGTTCGAATTCATATGAATTCTTAATGGTATTTGAGAGTCTGTCATTTACTTTCTTGAGCTTCAAGCAAATTAATTTCGCTAGTTTGTGTTTTGCTCCATGCTTGCTGTTGACTATTAGCCTTAGCGGATTTCCTTGTGTATCTTCAGTAGTCCGTAGGCTGTCGGTGGTTTTGCGTCATTTTTTATTAAAGATTTCATCATCCATCTGTCAATTTCCCCATTATGTATTTCCTTGAGCATTTTCTTCAGTGTCCCGTTGATCTTCATAGTTAGATCCTGATAAATGTTCCGGTTGCCTAGGATACTTTTCATTTTCTCCGTGTACTGTTTCCTGTCAATTACAACCGTCGCTCCTCTCTTATCCGCCTGAAGAACTATTTAATCATTCTTTTGTTATTTTTTTCCGTATAACAGCCAATCTGCTCCTGTCTATCGGTTCTTGATATGTCAGGATCCGTGGAATTATTTCCAGTTCCATCTCTCACCTTGCTTCTTCTAGAAATTTATCCGTTATGTTGACAACTTCCACCAAAATATTACTAAGAACGTTTCCTTCATTACCTAGTGAAAAATGTAACCCCTTCTTTAAGAAATCCGTAGTTTCAGAATTCAGAGGGATTGAAGACAGGTTTACTACCTACGGTGAAAATACGAGATAGTGCAAGATCCGAGAAGCCATCGATATACTGACTGAGAAAAATCTAATAAACAGGAGACTTGAAGAAGACAGGATCAGCGAAAACGTTGCATATTGCTTAAACAAACTCGGAGAAGACCAGGCAACAGCAAGATCAGCAAAAAGAAGACGACTGGATCAGGGTTATATCCTTAATTTAGGGAAAAGAGATCGCAGGGGGATGAGAAAGGAACAATCAGAAGCAAAGAGGAGACGTCTTCAGTGAGCCTAATCAAAACAAGTAGAACCAAACAATTTGTGGGTTGGCACACAAGAGACTAGGACGTAGGAAGTGATGGACATGGTATTACAGGTAGAAACGGGAAAGACGCAGTGGAGACTAAAGCTATTTGGCTAACAATAGACGTGTTTGATCATAGAGGTAATCCTTGAATCACGACTATTGTTAGCCAACTAGCTCTAGCTTCCACTGCTTCTATCCTCTTTCTATCTATACTACCAAGTCTATGACTTCCTATGCCATAGTCTCTTGTGTAC